GCCGTGGTGCCTGAAAGGCCCGATCACCACGAGTTTTAAATCGAGCGCGTGGGGCCACCAACACTCTCTGACCTGATGACCTCAGAGCACGGGAAGAGGATTGCAGTCTCAGCAGGTCACATATGTACTGGGGAGCCTGACCATGTAGGGCCCCAAAGGTTCAAACTAAAATGTTTTAAAATGAAACCTAAAACTTACAGGCAACTTCTGCCTTTTTAAATGAAATAAAGTAAATAACACAATTTTCTTCCTGCTGTAATTGATGCTGTGATCAGATCAAACTTTAGTCACAGTTGAGTCAAAGGTTGAATGTATACCTTTATATTCTTTTGGATGTTTGCTGTTATAATTTCGATCAGGGTTGATGTGCAGACATGTGCTAACACATGCATGTGTGCAGCGAGGATTGCAGGAACAGGAGCAGAGGTGAAAGGAAGGAAAAGGAAACTGGCTTTCTTTCTCTTCTTCCCTTTTCTCGATGTGCCAAAAATACCAAAGGACAAACATTTATTGTGAAACTCTTTCTGAAGGTCCTAAATGTGTAAAGACAGATTCTGAGAAGCTTCCTTTTTCTGGTGGAAGTGCGGCCCAGGCTGCGAGTGTCTAGACTCAGACGTGTTTCTGCTTCAGACTTCAGAAGTGAAATAAAATAACAGAAAAAAGTTATTTTAGAACGTTTTCTACCCTGTTCATTACAGGAGCTGGTAACAATAGTTAGCTCACGCAAAGCATCGTCCTGCTCACTTGACTGTTTGCTCCTTTAAAAACAACCTAAGTTAGCCCTTCTCTTACCAGCCGTCTTCTACGTCACTGACACAAGACAGACGCCAATTATCAGCTCCGGAGAAGACATCGTGAACGCTTCCTGTCCATCCAGTGAAACTGTTGGGAAGACGACGTTGGAGAAACGTGAACATTTTCTTTGTACTGTATAATCTGCAGATTCTGACAGAAATCTGCAGCTAGAAGCAGCGCTCCTCTAAAACAGCAGTGAGGATCATTATTAGGCCAACTGTAGGTAACGCAATAACTTTATAACTTAACGTAAAGTCCGAAGTCTTTATATTAAGGCCATCAGTCAAACATACTGTTGCTCTGGGTGTAAACAGAGCGCGTTGTGTGTGACGTCTTCCTTTGCGCATGCGGCCGCTTTGAGCGTTCACACTAGAGCGCGTTTGCTGTCGCATTTTATTTGTTGTGCAAACAAGCAGAGAAAAAAATCGGATTTGATCAAAAAAATCAGAATTGAGCATCAAGACCTGCAGAGTGAACGCAGCCTAAGCACAGGTCATCTTCCACGTCCCTGTGCTGTGGTGTGCCACATGGCTCTGTGCTGGGGCCTTTATCGCTCCTAACATATCTACTTCCCCTCCAGCATGTTTGGAGCTCCTTTGAGGACATCTGCTAGCACTGCTACACAGACGATATCCAGTTATACAGTTCTTTCAAGCCCCAAGATGTTTCTAAGCTGCAGATTTTAAATGAGTGCTTAGAATCCATTAAAGTTTGGATGGCTGACAACTTCCCCCAACTTAACGAAGGAAAGCCTGAAGTCCTTGTATGTGCTGCTGACAGAATGTACCTAAGATGATGAATGCTCTCGGTCCTCTTTCAACATTTGTGAAATCATCTATCAGGAACCTCGGGGTAACCTTTGACCCGGCTGTCAAATCTCTGGTTCGGTCCTGCTTTTATCACTTCAGAAACATTTCCAAACTAAGTCCTATTGTATCTCGTACTGAACTGGAAAATGTCATTCATACATTCATTTAATGAAGACTGGCCTACTGTTCACTGTTTACATGTTTAAACAAAAACCCCTTGAAGCGTCTACAGACTGTTCAAAACGCTGCAGCAAGACTTCTGACCAAAACATCGAAGTACTCGCATGTCACACCGTTGCTAACACACCTGCACTGGATCCCCGTCGAGTCCATTTTAAGATTCTGGTCCTGACTTATAGAGCTCTTCAAGGACAAGCACCTGCCTACATCATTGAACTTCTTCATATTAAATGTGCTGTGTTGAGCTTTAGGTGGATTTATATGTGCTCCATGCTCATGTCTCACAGAGGCATGCTCACTTCCAGCGTTCTGGCTTTTCTGTGGTCTGCCTCACACATAAAATAACTTTAGTGAATTCAGTAAATAGAAGAAAAGAAATCTTAATCAGCAGAGGTTTATCGTAAAACCACAGCTTCTTCACTGTGACGTATTTGACATGTTTAGAAGAATTAATAATTCATGGGAGCAGAAAGAGGAAGTGGAAGTAAAACAGAAAGTATTTCTGTTCTGTCTTTAATTCACCTTCATTCATCTGCCAACACTAAGTCTGAAATTCATTTTTGCTGATGCTGTTTTGATTAAAAGACAAAGTGCTGTACGCAGTGTTAGCATCGCTGTTCCAATCACTTCACTTTGATTTATTGTTATGTGACTGCACTCGTCCTCTACGTGCTGTGAGTCTCAGCGATAGTTCAGGGTGAACCGACTGAAACATCATCATAAAACTCGTTCAGTGGTTCCAAAATCACACCTCGCTGATGGCGCAAGAACTGCAGCCAACCAGTGACGACGTCCTCTGTGCCTGTTGTACAGATCGGTCCTTTCAAAGCATCGATGAGGTCTGACCCAAAACTCTAATCACAAACCTTATTAACATAACAGACTTTAATGAAGTATTTCCTTTAATTACACCTTCTTAACAAACGATTCTATGTGAGCCTGCAGCTTAATAGCTCATAATTATGGTATGTGTTTTCAGAAGTGCCTGTGAGGTGTCCCTCTGCTCCCGGATCTAAATTTAGCTCCAGGTTAATTTCTTAAGGACGGCATGTGGAGCTGCAGAGAGCTGATGAGCAGGGCAGGAAGTCAGACTCGGGGATGGCACACAGCAGCCTGTCATTTTTCAAAATAAAAGACCTTGTGCAGACTAAACATAGGTGTGAAACGCTCCCAGTTTGTCTCCGAGGGTCCCAGACAGAGCTGCAGTGCATTTCAGGAACTACACACTCAGGCAATGGGAGGGTGTAGTCTCTGAATAATCCTTCTTTGTATCAGACAAAGGAGGATTATTTTCATCTTTGCATCGTGCAAAACTACCGTAGAGTCCCGTAACTAAAATATGGAGCAGAAAATGAAAATAAGTCCCCTTTAATTACGTTTTACTACAAATTTTTTCTCTTCTCATCGATATTACATCACTCTCGCCTTTCTGCATGTGGGTTCTTTCTGGCTTTTTCCCGCAGTCTGCAGCACATTAGACTAACAGGTGATTCATGATTGGTCATAGGTGTGAATGGCGGTCTGTCTCTGAGTCAGCCCTGTGACAGACGGCGACCTGCTCAGGATGTACCTGCCTCTCTCCCTATTGGCTGGGCTGGGCTGTAGCACCCCTACAGCCCTGACCTGGAATAGCAGTAAAGAAAGCAGATAGATGTTTACATTAGAAAAGAAAGAAGAAGAAAGACGTTCATGTGGCATTAAATCATTGAACTGCAGAGTCCATGGTGGATGGATCGGCTTCCCCGAGGATTAAGATGAGGCTCCTGCAGAGAGCTGATGTGTGGAAAGCATTTAAACAGCTGATGGAGGATGAAACCTCCACTGTGTTTTAATCCTGAACGCCACGATGCAGCTTTCATTAAACATCGTCACTTCACGCTGCCATCGATCACGACTGCGGGTAAATAAAGCGGACTCTGTATTTGGATTTGGACCTTTTAATGGAAGTTAAGTGGACGTTTTGTCACTGTGACACTCTGAGAAAGCTCTGTGTGGTTTGTGGTGTACACAGCTGCTGAGGGTGTAATTTTCAGATAAACCTCAGGCTTTAAAATCAGAGCTGTTAAACTTCTTCAGAGAATGCAGCACAAAAACGATTTTTGTTTCTCTGTATTAAAGAAAGGAGAAAAGAGAAGTGGAACCAAAGGGGAACCGTGACTTCTTAGAACACACTGAGCCATGAACGTGGACGTCGGATATAAAGGGAGCAGCGAGCAGGTCGGAGCACATCAGCCCTGCACATTCAAACAGAAGAACATCTGTCTGTGTCGGGAACCATGAAGACTCTGCTGGCTCTCACAGTCCTGACGCTCATCTGCTTCCTGAAGCACAGCTCTGCCAGTGAGTACCGCTGACCTCTGACCTCTGAGCGCCGTGAGTCTGAGCTGCACTCATATTAACTCTTTGTGTGTGTCCACAGTGCCAGTCGCTATAGACATGGTGATAAACGAATGCTGCGAGGCCGTCACTAATAAAATCCACATACCAGTGACAAAGGTGACGAACGTGACGATGACCAGCGGCTGCTACCTTAAAGCGATCATGTGAGTAAACACAGAAAGTCATGTGACAGGTGTTGAACATTCATGTTATCTAATTTGGAGTTTTGAGTTTTGCAGCTGGCATGATTACTTCGTGTTACTGTGGCTCCCTGATCAGCTGCTCAGCTGCAGCTTTAGTTTTAGTCTCTTTGCTCCATTTTTGGTCTCCAAATCATTAGACCTGTAAATCTTCATGTGATCGTTCTCACTGGGTTCATCATCTGTTCCACTTTTTTAAAACGATTTTGAATGAAGCATTTTTACGTATTTTCGGGTATTTTGTGTCTTTCAGCTTCTTCCCATCACTGGCGCTGTGCGTCGTCCTTACAGTGTGCATTGTGTGTTTCTTGCAGAGTCACCACTGAGGCCAAAAAGAAGTTCTGCCTCGACCCTGAATGGAAACACGCGCAGATGCATCTGAAAGAATTTAAGAAGAAATCCCGACAGTCAGGAGCCCCGAAAGTTTGACACGTTGTTCCTTTGTGGGCGTGTCCATCAAGCATCAATGATTTTTACAGCTCAGTGCTCATCTTCATGTTTGAACTGTGACAGAACTTAAACCCAATATTTCTGATGATTTCAAAGAAAACTGAATTATTTAAACCTTTCATGTGTTTTTTTTTTTTAAACTGAGATAATACCAAGTAGTACACCTGAACCTTTCAGAATAAAAGACTTTTGAACTTTAGTATTCTCTGCAATTTATTTTGGAGTTTGAATCTGAGTTGGATGTCTTCCTCACACACAAAGGTTAGTCATGGAGTTCCACAAGCTTGTCACATTATACGTGCTGTTCTTAGATAATATTATGAGACGTTTCAGTGGAGACAATTTGTCCCTCTCAGGTAGACGGTGACTCAATCCAGAATTATCAAAGACAAAGTTCAAACAGATGCAGAGACACTGACAGGTTAAAAAAACCCTTCCTGTCCCCTATCAAAATAAAAGCATTCATTTTAAGCACAAGAACTCAAGCTAAGAACTTATTCCATTATTCTTAACATGTCAGTCTGTAAATATTCCTTCCAATATAATACAACTCTAAGCAAGTGAGCCATAACTTTATAGTTTTAATCATTAAGCCAAATTATGTTGAACATATAAACTCCATAAACTGCATCGAGGTTCCTACAGCATATTTATTTATGAAACAAACTACAAAGATTATTGGTTAAACTACAGGCATGTCCTGTATGAGGGACTGGATGAGCTGTGATTGACTTGGTTTCCTTTTATTTATTAGACGCTTTCTTTGAGCTGGTTATTACATTAAGATTGAGATCTCTGTTCTTGAGGCCAGTGTACGGTTAAGAGCAGACAAACAGAAAACGTCAGACGTGATCACAAAATGAGAAGAGCATCCGAGAGCAGATGCAAAAATTATAACCTTTAAAAAGTTCCAGTCCAATCAGGAAATGTTGCCTCGGGCTTTGGTTTTCCCTTCCATGTGTGGGTTCATGTGTAAGCAGCGCGTTCGGTCCAGCTTTTCCACGTTTGTTGTGAATAATGTTAAAAGGTGTTAACACATGATCACATGATCCTCACAGCGTTCGCTGTGTGCAGTTCACCTGCACTGGCGAGGAAAGAACAAGACAACCAAACAGGCAGTAGTTTAGCAGCTGGCGCTCTCTGCTTGTCCCTCCTGACTGATTTCTCTCTAATTTTATCGACATCTTTTATTCCGACCTGCGCTCGCCGCCCAGCGCCCTGCAGCTCGTTCAGCCTTCCACGTCTGTCACGTGTACCCACTGTGAACCTGATCTCACCTGTGACGGGATCGGGTCACTAGTGGCGACCTGCCAGTTGTCCTCTGGTCCCCTGGACAGTCGAGCTGGTTGGTTCCTCACGCCGCCCCTCGTAGAGCTTGTTTCTGAAGGTTTGGTCCCAAACGTGTTACTGATTTGTTCTCCCTGCACAAAGGAGCAGATACGGCCCTGAGGCTGCATGGTCCCAGGACCTTGGTGCTTTTAAAGTGTTTGGATTCTGTGAATATTTAGAGCTTGTCTAAGTTCTTGTGCAAAGTTTAAAGTCTTTCCAGTCTGAGGAGCTTGGAAAGAAAAGCGACTGGACTTCTTTGTTCCACCTCTCATCCGAGAAGCTTCTTCCCAGGCATTTAACTCTCCACCAGGGTCCAGCTCTGACGTCCACATTCTGTTACTTGTTTAGACTCTGAGATTGAAGAGCATCCTTTTTGGATCCATAATATGTTCTTTATGGTGGACCATATATCACCAGCAGGGTGCGCCAAAGCACCGCTACAGCTCTTTCAATACAGTCAAAACTGTGGCGTCCACTACTCAGTGAACTTTATTTATTAATATCAATCAGTTTGTTTATTTCATTATTAGTGCAGCTGATGATCTGCATGTTTGATTTGGATATTATGGATTTACGCCCTTCCTGATTCAACCGTCCTCATTTATCTAAGCTTGAGACTGTTGCTAGGAGTACACGGTTTGGGGGCGGGGCTCATAAAACCTAGGACCGCTCATGTGCTGCTGTTTAGAATATTTTGTGGTTTGGAGTTAGTTAGAAGTTAGAAGAGCGAGGCTGAGATGGTTTGCACATGTGCAGACGGGGGAGAGTGGATATATTGGATATATCGGACAAAGGATGATGAAGGAGAAGATGCAGGGGGTGAAGGACACGTGAGCGTCACGCCGTTAGCCTCGTCTCCTGTGAGGACAGCAGGCCATGCGGGTTGGAGGAAAACAAGAAGTGATAGAAGAGAAGAACGAGTGCCTGTTGGACTTCAATGTTCCCATTGTTTGTAATTTAAACCGAAGCCGTCGTGCCAACAAGTGTCAAACAAGTTCTGCAGAGACAGAAAGAGGCTCTCGCACAGCCTCCATCTGCGTCTCGAACACGAACGATAACAGCAGATGTCAGCGTGACGACACATCTGAAGACAGCCATGCACACAAAGGCAGCAAGCACAGAAATGATCCGTCCGGCTTCCAGCACAAATCATTTGGAGGAAAAGTGCAGCTGAATTTAAACTGATGACAAAATCTAATAATGAGATACATCAAAGTCAGACCTTTTGGTTTTTGTTCAGAGTAGAAATGTGCATGAAGCTGTGACGGCAGAGTTACAGCAGCTCCAGTTTATTTCAGCCTGTTTAATGTGTATGAGCTGCACAAATGAATGTAATTCAGGGCAAAAAGCACAAACTCCCTGCAGATTTCTCATCTGAAACTTTTCTGTTTTACTGAAAGGAAACACAGAAATTAGCCATCTGGAGCTGATTTCCTGCCAAATTTCAGCATCATCAGTCTGCCTGCCCGTCTTACAGTGAGGACCATATTTGATCTGACATTACATTTCTATCAGCAGAGGTGTGAATAATTCTGTCCAAGATTTAGACGCCATCAGGAGGCTCCACTTTTATTTATTTTTTTAAATGTTCTAGATTTGTTTTAAGCTGGGAAAAGAAGGCAGAGTGAACGAGAGGATCACACAGACACAGATACATAACATCTCAGTCCACAGGGCCAGTTCAGGGACTCCAGTTAGCTGAGGTGAAGTCTAGCAAAGAGCTAGCAGCTACAGCCACCTGTGTCACCATCCACCTGTCAGTCAGTGATGCCACGCCCCTAATAATACAAACTTTAATCCAGGTGAGTTATAAAACAGGTGTTATGTTAGGAAAATTATCTATAGAGATGAAACAGTTTGTGTATCAGGCTGTAAACATGTTTGTTTCTGCTGTAAAGCTTTAACATGGGGGTCTATGGGGACTGACTCACTGCTGCCTCTGCTGGACGGTAGAGGAACTGCAGGCTTTACGGTCATTTCTGGTATTAGCCGGTCACTGAAGGAGGGTGACTTTTGCATTTAAACACCGTTTTAGTTTCTTTATAATAAAGCTCCACAGGAAGTCGTTACCACAGTGTGTAATTCATCGCTGCTGACTGCAGTGTTGCATTTTTCTCATTGCTAACTAGTCCTTCCATTCAATACAGTGCAGCCCACCATCTCGTTCTCTAAGGCCTCTTTTTAAGTCACATTTTTCTGTCGTGTAGTCGTTAAAACTGCTCGGGAGCTTCGAGTGCAATAAAACAATCCAAAGCATTCATCACAGCAAATGAATCCAAGTGTAATTTTATTTTAAAAATGCCAGAAAGACGTGAGCGGTTAAAGAATGAAGGACACGAATTTCTGTGCACATTAAAGGACCGAGTTGGTGGTTCTCAAAAATGCTTCGACACCTCCGCTGATTGGTTTTTAAATGACTTTCTTCCCTCCAGGCTGCCATCGACTCCCTCTGAAAAATCCTCTCTGAGACGTGACGGCGTCTGTGCTGTGCAATCCATCACAGTGAAGTTCTGCGAGCGCCGATGGTCCATTCGAGGACACTCCAACATCCCGAAACTCGAGAGCCGGGTCAGCGTCACAGTCCGAAAGCAAACGGGAAGAAAAGACGATGCTGAGAATCTTCTTTCAGTTATCTGATTAAAACTGAAAGAACCAAGAGGAAGAAATGTGATCTTCCATTACACTGATGCTCTCCAGACAATCATACTGTAATTGGATTGGTGCACTGTGTGTGTGTGTGTGTGTGTACAAAAATAGTGTATTACTACAGACACAGTGTCTCCTAGCAGCCACAGAGAGGAGTAAGATTATTAAGACCACAGTTTGGAGCTCCTCAGAAAACAAAGGGAGAATTCAACGTTCGGGAAAGGCTTTGGGAACGACTCATTTCCAGCTCCCTGCTTTTGCTCTGACTCACGATACCAAACAACGCTTTCATATCTTACTGAGCGTTGAACTCTTATAGCTCCTCCCCCTTTTAAAGCAATCTTCTGAGTGGCTCACAGACACAAAGGTTTGAACATGGGGTGGTTCTGCACTCACAGCCAGGGCTGTGGACTGGAGATGACCATATAAGGAGATCCACTTGACATCACAGAGAGCCAACGATAGAAAAACCTGCGATAAACGGAGCGTGTAGAGCACAGCGGTGCACAGGGATTACTTTACATACGCCGAGCTCGTCATTAAAAACAAACACGGCTGGAAACAGGACACTTGAACCTCTAACATCCACCAGGTCAGCAGTGACGTGTGCAGAGTTACAGTCGGACTTTGTTTTAGCTGCAGGAAAAACCAGAAGATGTTATATTCCTTTTGTGTTGTTTTTTCCCTAAAACTCCATAAAAAGTGATGAATGTTCAGCGCGGCTGCACGGTTTAAGCCGTTACTTTGATTATTTGTTACAATCGTTCACGGATTTTTCGATGGTTTCACATCTGTACAAATATTTGCACCATAATAAAATAAATTCATAACATTTTTTCGCAAAACTTTGCAGAAATTTAAATCAGCAGGGTGCTGCTTCCACTTTTACATAATGCAACATTCCTGTAGTTATTCTTTATAAATGAATATCTGCAGATGAATCAAGTGTTCGTTCATCTCCTACAAGGAAGATCTAAAGTCTGTGTTTGTTGTTCCTGCACGAGCGACGTTTTGCTGCTTTGAAAAACAACTGCATGAGGTAACAACAGATGTTTTGCCAGTAAGCTGACCATTTTCCCAAAGCTCTCATTACTCACCGTGGTTAGTCGGCACTTATCTTTGACCACGTGAAATGCGATTTGGGTGTTTCTCTGTGAGTGGATGCTGCACAGCCTCGCTGTCATGGACGTCTGAGCTGATGTTGGGTGATTGTTACTCTACAGTTCTGGGTGTTCTCGGGTTATTTGTGTTGCTTTATGGTGCAGACGCAGCTCTCCTGCACTCTTTGCATAACATCTTCTTGGTTAATCAGTGGAGCCGGCGGCACAGTGCAGGGGACAGCTGCGATTGGCTCACGCAGGCAGGTGGTCAGACGCTGATTTAGGGAGCGCTCGATTTCCTTTTTATTGGAGGAGCCAAAATCAGGATCAAGATCAGATTGATGTAAACAAACCTCAGTGACCTGGTGGAAGTTAAGAGGCGACTACAACCTGATAAGTTGGGGACACACTTTGATGGAAACATGAATCTAGAGCGTGGAATATTATTTTGTTCATCGCACAATTGCTCCAGAGTTTTAATGTACGGGAAGGAGAAAGTTTTTAACACATAATGAACCAAAAGTGTCACATGACCTCCATCAGAACGCTGCAGACGGAAGCGTGGGAGTCTTGCTCGACTTCATCCCGTCGTTCCCATTCTTCGACACGGATTTGAGCTCATCTAGTGAAGAATCATCCTTGGAGCAGCTCTTCCCCGACTCGGCGGCTATTTCCTCGTCCCGCTCCTCCTTCCACACCCGCTTGTACTCCTGCTTGAGCTCCTGATATGAGCGGGAGAAGGTGTGGAAGATGGAGGTGGCCGGGAACGCCATGATGAGGATGCCGCTCAGGATACTCGTCAGCGCCACTATCTGTCCGGGGATGCTGCGCGGCACCATGTCGCCGTAGCCCACGGTGGTCATGGAGATGATGGCCCACCAGTAGGAGGCCGGGATGCTGCTGAAGCTGTGGTGGGGGTGCGTGGCGGCAAATGGCGCCAGCTCGCTCTCGGCTAGATGAACCAGTGGTGAGAAGAGGGTCACGGCCACGCAGACAAACAGCAGCAGGAGGCCGAACTCTCTCATGCTGCGCTGCATGGTCACCCCGAGCGTCTGCAGGCCCAGAGAGTGGCGAGCCAGCCGCATCACGTAGAGGATCCGCAGGGCTCGCAGCAGGCGAAGGATCAGGCTCAGTTTGTCCAGGTAGCCTCTGCCGGCCCCCATGATGACATCCTCATGCGACTCGTCTTTGATGTCGACCACCAGGGACACGTAGTACGGCAGGATGGCAACGGCGTCGATGATGTTGAGCGGGCCGCGGGCGAAGGCCAGCTTGCTCTGGGCGTTAATAAATCGGAGCACAAACTCCAAGGTGAACCAGGCCACGCAGATGGACTCCACCACGAACATGTTGTGACACTTCTGGGAGCACTCGCCCTGCAGACGGGGACAGAAACACGGAGCAAATATAAAGTGTCGCTCCATCGATTTCACACTTGATGCTCAGATAGCCTCAGAAAACAGTGACCTGCGAGGCCCGCTGCCTCTCGCCGTGCCAAAGGCAAACGGCCTCTCGGTTTTCCTTACCATCACTTTAATTCCACGTCTGCCTGCACAAAGCGAGAAATTGGAAAACATTTAAAAGCTGCAGAGCACTTACATTGATTTCTCTGGAGGTGAATGCTAAAGAAAAGTGTCTGTTGTAATAAGAAGTATGCGTCGCCTCAGGGAAAAAATCCATTTTTATTCCAGTGTGATTTTAACAGATGACAGAATGATGACAAAAAAATGAGAAAGAAAGACGCCTGAATGAAGAACTGTCCACAAATACCAGAGCGACAAAAAGAAAAGTGAAAATTACAACCTGGAAGAACACGGGCTTTTCTAACTGCACATAATGTGAACGACTTTTGACGAGAAGACGCCGTCGGGCAGCTTCCATCAAGCATTAAAATTTAGATTTTTAATCTAGAACTCTGTGTTCCCTGATAAAATACTACTCCTGGAAACAGGTGAATTATTTGTGAGGGAGGTAAGATTCAGGAAAGGATGGTGAACCTCACCTGAACTTTCTGCCTGCTACTTGGTGAAAGCTGTATAGTAAAAACGATTTTCCTGCTTCCATTCTGCTTTCTCCTGTTTTACGCCATCAGATCTTCTTCTATCCTGTTCCAGCCATGATGTGCATAACAAACATGACCAGATAACGAGGACAGTGTATGCACAAGTAATCCATGTGAACCGGAATCACTTAGTTTACCACAGTTTTTTTCTACTTCTGGTTCTGCATGATGTCATAGAGAGTATCCAATCAAAAGAAAGTGGTCTTAAAGGGTGGCCTGGAAGTGGGAGGAGCTAAATAAGGGCTATCTCTATCTGTAAATCATACAAAACTTCTCTAGTGGAGTCAAAGGATAAACTATGAGGCTGCTGTAAACTGTGTCAACATAGTGCTTTATGCTAATTTACTAATTTCATTGAGTGGTGTCTTTAGAATTTGGCCTGCGCTGATTAGTTGTAGAGATATAAGGTGAAATTTTGTTTTTGAAAAGCAAATCCGTCAGATCTTATTTTTTTCTCAAACCATGACTCCTGATAATTAACATTAAATGAAAACACTGCATTTTCTGTAAGCTAGCGTTAGCACGATTATCTCTGCAGCAGCACCATCCACCTTACAGGTCGGCCAGATCCAGAACTTTCAGCTTCTTTTAGCGCTCACGTCCACACTTTGATTTTCTGTCGGCTCGATTAGTCCGACCGACTGCAAAAACGTTCGGGAGGAATCGATTTCTTGTCTCCAGCTCACAAAAGCCAAATTCAGACTCTTTACACTGACAACAGCAGTCAGCTCTGCACACTGTCTCCTTTGGTTACCTCAGACCGCCGGCAGAAAACAACCAGCAAACAGTCACGCTGACAGAAGCTGCTTTTCAATCCACGCCTGAGCCCCATTAATGTGCTTTAATTTGTCTTTTTACTGTCATCGCTCTTTCCATCACTGAAGTTACACTGATTTATAACCGCACCTATTTGTAATTACAGAGGATTTATTCTCCATATCTTTATTCTTGGACTTTTCTGTGGATGCCTTTGTCTCATACTGAGTTGGGTTGGCAAACATAAGGCCCAGGGGCCAGAATCAGGACCACTGGATGGATTTGGAAAATGTAAAGGACAAAAATGTTCCACTTTAAGCTTTTCATTAGTTTTACAGCTTTTCCTACTGATAAAAAAGTCTCCATGGCCATTCAGAACACACCAAAACAAACAACTAATAGATAAACGATATATCAGAAAGCTTTTTTAATTATCTGCCATCCAAATGTATATTTTTACAGTAGGGTCATAGTAAAATATATATATATATAAGTCTTAGAATCACTGGATTTTCTGCACAAACAATTATTTATAAAAATTTCAAATTAAATCAGCGTTTCTGTATCACTGAAACTGTGGGATAAACTGTTGCATCTGTTCTTTTTCTTATATTAAAATATCTCAGGGATCAAATGTGCAGTTAGACTGTACATGTACATGTAAATACTGTTATATTACTGTGATGTGATTAATGTGTTAGCTAAGAGCTGCTTTTACACATCCAGCCCACACATCGCACGTTCATCTGTAGTCACATCTCCACTCTCCTGTCTGCTGCTGGGTGCAGGTACCGTGCAGCGTGTTTATCACTGCGAGCTTTCTTGTTTTTTCTAGAAACTTCTGTCTGTAAATATCACAGTGAGAGAGAACAAAATCTGCAGCTCTGTCGGCATCAGTTTACCTGTCAGTTAATCACAATCAGCCCCACTTTGCATCACAGCTACGTGAGCCGACGTTAATAGGATGAAATATTTAGTGTTGTGGTGGAAATGTTTCTCAGTCAACACACAGTCTGCTCTGTGAAGTTTTCATTACTTTCATTAAATTTCCAGCTAAAAATCATCCTTCGCTAACGGCTCCGCCACTGAGGGGAACGACCCAGAGAGCCAACTACAGCAGAAATGATGTTTTCATCTCTGCAACACATAAAACTGTAAGTCAGGAAGTAAACAAGAGCTTTATAGCAACAACCGGCTCTAACCAGCATCACCAGGTCTCCTCTTCAGCACCATTTTCTGCATTAGATCATCTTTTTTACAAGAAGTCCTCCAACAAAGCAGTCATCATAAACTACCATGAAAATCATCATGTAGGACTGTTTACTGTCCACACGAGCGCACAAACCGTACCACCGCTGGAGTGCACGCTGTTCTTGGACCATCTGAAAGCTTCAGTTGTTAAGTTTAGATGCAAAGACTCTTTGGTGAGGAACAGAAAGCAGTTATGCGCCATGTGCAGCTCTGTAGAGGTAGCAACACGATCACACATCACAACATTTACACATTCACACAAACTTCTTCTTCTGTCACCTGCTCCCTGCAGTGATCACCAAAACACATCACCTGCCTCCATCTCACCCTATCCCAGCATCCTCTGTCACGCCAACCCTCTGCGCGCCCTCCTTCTTTACATCTATGAATCCCTTTAAAAGGCCTCTACTGGTCAGCCAGATGACCCCGGGGCCAGTTTTCCTCTTTCCTATAACCTTTCCTGGTTCATTGGCACCTGTGTGGTTACAGTCCTGAATAATATTTACATGTTTTAATTTAGATATTTCAGAAAAATCCCCTTCCAGACTCCAGTTTAGCGGTGAGCGCAGCTACAGTGCTACGTGCTATATAGAGTGTGAGCTAGCATTGCTGTGCACTGCTGAACTCTGCAATTAGCCCGAATGTGTGAAGAGGAACAAACTGGGTGAGTCTGTGATGACCGTTAGAAAGAAGTCTTACACACTTCCATGTGTTTAACCTGTTAAGTTTCCTGTTCAAAAAGGAAATTCATTGTATTTCTCTGCAATTATAAATTCTGTGTAACCAATCTTGGTATCAAAATAAAGCGAATACTTGTGAGATTTCATCAGAGGTGTAAGTAGTACTGCAGATGTTACTATTTCAAAGTTACTGTGACTCAAACATAGAAAAGTTAGATTTTTTTATTTCCCTCGCCTCATTTTTTTAAAGTGTTTTATAGCACATAACACCTTTGAAAATATGCTCTGGGTCAAATTTAAGTCCAGAAAACCGCGTAACTGTTTGGCATCTTCGCTTTGTTTGGTGGTTTTAGAAATGGTTTACCTGAGATTTGAGAAGATTTAGAGGTTTCCGTGGATACCACACATATGACTTTAAACTATGACTATAACCTTGGCTAGGATGACATGGGGGTACATACAGACAACCTGACACTGACTGAACGGAAACACACAGACTAAATACAAACAAGGGGAGATCAAGGGAAGTGGCCACACACTGGGAAACAGCTGACACAAACAAATCATAATGACGCCACAAGGGAAGTGTAAACTAGGCACATAGAACAAGACAACAAGACCTTCAAAATAAATAGGAAGCATGATGGGATTCAGATGTGACCTGAAGTTGACAACAGGAACCATGCAGACATAACATGACAGGTAAGACACGCCCAACAACAAGGGGAACTTGGGAAACTATGGGAACGGGGGAAGATGACACAAGGAGTCTAAATGAGCACAGAACTATAACTAGGCAACCGAGGAGCTAAAGAAGACTAAAAGAACCAAAACATAAACAATGAATATCAAAATACAATGAAACGCTGGGTTAAACGACCCAGGACCGTGACACAGTGGCCCCAGATGCAGACGTCAGGTTCAACATTCAGCCCGATCCCAGAAATTTCTTTTTTATTTAAACCCATATTTAAAACGTTTTATGCATTTCAAACTGATTCCACAGGCTGTTTTATAAATTCTGTAAGCTCTGTACCCACCTTCGTCTCCTCATCTCGGAGGTCCGGCATAGTGCTGATGCACAGACTGATGACGGTGACCATCACCATGACGATGGAGAGGCAGGCGAACATCTTCCCGGCCAGGCCGGAGTGAGGGTTCTCCACCATATCGCGCAGCACCACGATCAGTCTGCGATAGCCCTTTTCCGTCTGTGTGCTGCTCTTCTTCAGCATCATCCTCTTCTGCCTCCACTCTTCCTCCTTACGCTCCCGCTCCGCCACCTCCTCCACCCGGGCCATCATGCGACGGCGGCAGCAGCGCTCCATATGTCCGGGGTCCACGCCCCAGTAGTCGAGCTCATCGTGCAGCGAAACGGCACATAACTCCCGGAGCAGACGCAGTTTGCCTGCCGCCAGGAAGTTGAGGATGACCCTAAAGGCTGTTGGGTTTCGGTCGAAGAAGAACTCCTGGCAGGTTTCGTCGTAGTCGTCGCAGAGTCGTGCGATCTCCTCGGGGGTGGTGCAGAAGCGCAGGCGACCCAGACGACTCTGAGGAAACTGCTCCAGGGTGCTCCAGGGGAAGGTGTAGCGGTTGCCGCCGACATTGATCAGAACCTGCAAGGTGCGGTCGACCACGTATGAGGCCTTCGGGTCGCGCAGCAGCTGGGCGCGCTGGAAGTAAACGCCTTTGAGGGTCTCGGTCTCCGGGATCTCGGTGAAGAAGCGGTCGAGGCTGCTGTCGTCGCTGCTGATGGAGTAGGTGCTGAAGTCGTGGTTGGCATTGCTGATGATGGGCATGCTGGCAGCTGGATGTGTGACGGGATGGGTGAGATTTTATTATGTCCGACTGACCGCAGTTTTACGGAAGCTCCACTGAAACTGTAGGGAAGCAAAAAGACAGATTCAGTCTGTTGAAATCTTCCATTAATTCAAACTTGTTTGTCTCCAAGGGGCTCAATAGGGACCAACATGTAGTGAAGGAAGTGTCCCAGACCTCCTACTGATATCAAATCCAAGTCCTTTTATGTCACTTATCAAGACCTTTCATGTTCATGTTTTAAAGTTACTCCAAATCAATCATCCTTTTTTGCAGAGAAGACTAAAATATCTTCCTTAATGTTCCCCACTCGTACCCACAACATAAAACTATTAGGAAATGTTGTCTGACACATTCAATTAACTGCTACATCGGTGTTAAACATCCAAATTCAGAATGATTAAGAAGTTTTGGCTTGAAGCTTGACGTGACATCAGAGTCAGTATTGCAGTTTTCAAAGCGAGCTCTCGCTGTCATAACCTGTCAGATACCATCAAGAAACAAAGAGCAGTAAATGGGATGTGAGCAGGATGCCGGTTTCTGATGTGTTTAATCACAGACAACACTGAACAGACATATTGAGCCACAGCAGCAAAGCAGCCCGAAATGCGGAGAGAGAAGATGAGGCCTCTCGCATATTTGTGCGAAGCCTCATCTTCTGTAATGAGTCTGATCAAAACAAATCAGCGTGCCAGGAAAAAGAGTTTGGATCGCTGCAGTCGCTGCCAGGAGAACAACAACCCTCAGTGAAGCACAGGACCATGAATATCACCCAATTTGATGAGTAGCTTCTAAAATACTGAATCTCAGACTCCGTGGCAATCATTATTAGTCTGCTATGAATTTGGTGATGGATTCTGAAGTGAACTTATTGTGGGGTTTTTTTCTTATTTCCTGTCATATCTCCTGTTCAGATGTTGAACAGTCATAATAAAAACTGATTTTCAAATAATGAAATGTGTATGTACAAATAAATACCCAGATTCAGACAATTCCTTCTATTCTAGGAGCTTCTTTGATGATGCTGGTGAGGGGATATCCCAAATATGGTCAAAAAAACCCCACCCACCTGCTGTGTCCGAACGTTTATTCTCCACTCGGGAGTGAGGTTAGCAGGGTGACAAAGTTTTCTTTCTTTATTCAGTATTAAAGGTTTTTTCTGTTCTTTAGAAAGAATGCAGAGTTTGGATCAACAACAGCTGAAAACCTAAAGTTGACTCTCAAGTCAAATACGAAGCAGGACTCTCAGCTAGGCTAATGCTAAAAGACAAAGCTATCCAGTTTTTAAGTGATGACGTGATGAACCGTGCTTCCAGGTCCAAACTACTCTGTTTATTAAAGCTGTTGTGATTTTAACATGTTTTAATTCTTTGTATCTTGTTCTGTTTAATCTCAACAAGCCCCTAAAAACAGTCAATGATGACTGTTGGCCTCTCTCAGTTTTTATTACCACTGTTAAATTTAAAGCTCAGTGTTTAAAACCTTACAATGTAACTCCAGCCCATGCAGCAGTATATTAATGACTAACCTCGTATTGTGGATGGATTATCTCAGTTGTTCTCCTGACTGAAGTTTGGTCCGTTTACAGCATCCTGCCATGCGATTGCATTTGTCCCTAACCATCAGGAACCCTCACGTTAACTTTTATTGAGTGGAATAAAGTTAGCGTTCATCCTCCAGCTTCACTGTGTTTATGCTATGCTAACAAGCTAGCTGTGTCGCTAGCGATCACGTAGCACATCATTATATAGCAGCTGGCCCAACTTCAGTAACCCTACAAACGTCACTGCTGTTTAGTGTTCTGTCTTCATTTATGTTGGAAGTGATAGCAGAGCTGTACGTTTGAATTTGTTTCAGAAATCTCTCGGTCAGAACATGCTATATCATGCTTAGGTGAAAACTAGCGAGCTAACTTCCTGCTAACTTCTAACTCAGTTAAATTTTTAAAAATTCTGTTTTCGTGAATGACTGATTGTTGAGTAAAGCGCTTTGGGTCCTTAGGGACTAAGTAAAAGCGCTATACAAATACAGGCCATTTACCATTTACATTACCATGCTTACCTAGACGTAGCTAAGATAAGAATTGTGCTAACCCTGAAACCCTATAAGAACAGCTCATCCAGTTTCCATATGTTTTCTGCTCTTCCGTGTTATATGATCATTTAGACCAGAGGCTGAGCCAACCTGCAGATGAAACAAGACAACGAGGACAACGATAAAAAAAATGAAGCTTTTTGTTGAATAAATCAGACACTGATCCTGATGTGCTGTATTAAACTATCTGGGCTTCAGGTGTCAAATCTGACAATATATATAGCTGTAATAATTCTTCCATGCCAGTCATTAAAGAACAAATCAATGAGTCTACATTAGTTCGTGTGTCTTTTTCAGTAAAATAGAAAATTGACTGAAAGGGGAAGAAGCTCTCAACACTCCCCGTTTTAGCCTCGACACCCTGCACAGTTTCTTCACACCAGTTCACGCCTCGATTTGTGTGACTCGACGGTGAGACACAGTGATGGCGTGAACGAACCCAGAGAGTAGAAAATGCCTGAGAATCACCAAAGAAGCTCTTTCAGCTCTACAGGTTCGAGCAGAAAGTAGTTTCACCTCGGCCTGATGTCAACAAGATGAATATAGAATCTGCTCGTATGAAAGCAACGTGGGTTTGACAGGTCGCTCAGTGTGAGCTATAAAAGACTGAGATCCTCACTTCTCGTGACAGCGAACCACACATAAGTTGTAAGTCATGCTGTAAGTACATTTAAGTAATGCATGAATAATTTAAAGTTTACAGGAAAGGAGGAGTCATTTAAGTACTGCATCAATTGTGTGGTAATTGTGAAGCGAAACAAACAAAATTTCCACCTTTCATGTTGTAAGCATGATGTGCTACAGATTTAGATATTTATTTTTTCATACAAGTTAATAAAGGAAAATATTTATAGTGTTTAAATAAAAGGACAGTTTAATAATACAATGTCCCAAAAATTACCCCATGTTTACAACACAAGACCAGAGAATATTCTTTGATTTTCTGCAGAATTCCCATTAAATTACTTAATAAATGAAACCACTTTAAATTACTTACACAGTACTAAAGTTTATTTGCATCACATTTCTTTCATTTTCTGTAAAAACCCGACTTGTTACCTCCTTATTTTAGTGTATGTACCTTTAAATATTTGTAAGTAAATACAATGATGTTGTAATTTCAAATAAAATCCCATGCTGACTCCCATTATGGACTCTTGTCTACATCGTTCCTGCAAAAGCAGCCACCTCTGAAGCTTTCTTGTTAGACACAAAGCAGTTACACAAAGGAAAACCGTGCGTGTGTGAATGGATGTGCAAGACGTGGTGTGTAAGGTACTCTGTGATCAGGTAGAGTAGAGCCAGTCCACTTCCTGGTTTGTGTTGCTGATGGCTCTGTCCTAGATTCTGTTTGAGTGCCATGCTGCTCTCTATGATCTATGATCCCAATTTCAGGCATACGTCAGGGATTATTAAAGTGAGCAGGATGCACGCAGCTCAATTTGGAGCCACAGCAGAGAATCTCAATACTTTATAATTAAGAAATATAAAATTGGGCAAAATCATTAAAACTTGTTTAAGTATAGAGTGACGGAGGGAGAAAGTCATTTTAATCCGTTTACTGTTAAATCTACAAAACAGTGCTGTGCAGTGTGTGTGTGTGTGTGTGTGTGTGTGTGTGTTTCTAATGAACAGGAGGTTTATTTAAAAAACATAATTTGGTGAAAAACTGACATTTAATGGTAGTATGAGTGCAAACAGATCCTCTGTACACTCCTGCAAAAGCTGAACATGTTTCAAAGCCTTCAGCGTTCCAGCCCAGTCTTCATTTATGCTGTGCTAATGTAGCGCCTCTAATATCAACAAGAGGTTTCAGGAGTGAGGCCATGTTAAAAGCAAAACTACAAAAATTGTTTTGTCTCAAAAGATCATTTCCTCCTTCATAGCACCTGTACAGGGGAGGACATTTTTATAACTCACCTGTTTAAAGCTTATTAAGGCTTAAAGTTTGCATCATTGGGGGCGTGGCTTCTTGAATGACAGGTGGACGGTGACACAGGCGGCTGTAGCTGCTAGCTGTTTGCTAGCTTCACCTGAACTGGACCTCTGGACCACTTTTTTTTTGCTGTTGGAGCATTTTGACATCATGTGACCAATAATATGGCTGCTGTGAGGTCACTGCACTAACAGACCATCCAAGAAGGTTGAGCTCTGGTTTTTAGGTTTGATTTTAATTCTTACTCAGCAGTAATTACCAGACATCTGTGTCTGTGTGATGCCTGAACCAAACTAGCTAGCACTCCAAAGAAAAGAAAGAAAGACATAAAGTAATTTAAAAAGAAAGCTATATGTAAATAAGATAATCAAAAACATCATGGCTGCAGTCCAAGTTTTGTTTAAAATGTTGAAGCCAGATACCAGGGGATGATGTGACTGTAGAGTCCTCCATCTTTTAGCTACAGTCTAAAGCTTTCCTCAGCCTCTCCGACCTGAAACCAGCTGTCAGCTCATATTTTTTATTAAAATGCGAGCTGAGCCACGTTCTCGCTTAAGATCTGAGATTCAAACTCAATTTTTGAAATTAAAGTTCAGCCTGAACTTGACACAGAAATGACGGACCCTGAACTACACCCCGGCCAAAGTTCCGTACAGGCCAGGTGTGATTCACTCACCTCTCAGCGCGGAGACGAGCCGCCTCGGCTCTTTAACGTGTCCCGTTCATGTTCTCTAGAAGCCGCTCCTCGGCCACTGAGACTGGCGCACAACCGTCCGCGTAACTGCGCCAATTACGAGGCACAGGCGCTGCTCCGGCTCCAGTTTCTGAATCCAGTCTGAAGTTTGGGCTCGGTGTGTGTCCGTGCACCGTCACCGGGCTACACGCACACGTCGCCTCTCCAGCAGCTCCGGAGTTGGAGGGAACGGAATGAAACTGATTTCTTTGTGCGCAGCTCGGCGCTCGGTGTCCGCTGACCCCCGCCCCCGCCGCTTCCGAGGAGACGATAAATGCGATTACCTAACGGCGGTGTCCTCCTGAAACCTGCCGCTGGATTTTCATCTGTGTTTGACAGCAGGACCGTCCTCCTCCCCCCTCCCCCCCATCCTCCTCTTCCTCTTCTCACACCCTCCCATCTCCAGCCCTTCTCGCCGATGCACTGTAAAACACAGACAGGCTGAATGTGCTGGAAGAAGTTTGGGGCGGTTTTGTCTGATGTGAGAGACACGAAGAGACGCGTGTAAAAGTTTAACCATTTAATCTTCAGGATCTTTTTGAGTCACTAACAGCTCCACAGCTCTGAGGTCGGACCGGATAATTCACCCTGCAGGATTTAAACTTACAGCAAGTCTGTGTGACTCCATCACAGGTCAGAATGAGAGCGTGCAGCCCTCTGGCACAAATCACAAACACTGATGGAACAGAAGCAGCAAAAACTCTCAGCTGCAACAGTAAGTCTGATGTAACCAAGAGAAAAAAGAAAGCGCGCTGCATCCATTCAGAGCAGCGGGTCTACTGCACAGCCTCTTTATTAGCCAGAGCTGTGCTTCTCACATCTACATGCAAGTGGATTCAATTTCATGTATACACTCTGTAGACTCCAATTTGGTGCTGCTGCACTACAACGGGACCCTACTGTACATGCGTTCTGCAGGACTTCTAGAAAATAATATAAAGCTTGATTAGACGCCTGATGACTGACACCACAGACGAGTATGTTCTTATTTTCTATTCCTGGAGGGACATACGCAGAGTTAGTCCCTGTCTTTGTTCAGATACTCAAAACTAAATGTCACAAATTCCAGGTGGTAAAAAACAAATGATGAAAAGCTGCGGTTCCTCTAACGACCAGCAGAGGCAGCAGCGAGTCAGTCCCCATAGACTCCCATGTTAAAGCTTTCCAGCAGAAATGAACATGTTTACAGCCTGATACACAAACTGTTTGCTCTGTGTGGATTATTTCCTCCTTCATAACACCTGTTAGCATTATAAGGGGCGTGGCCTATTCGTGGCTGTAGCTGGTAGCTGTCTGCAAGGCTTCACCTCAGCTAACTGGAGTCGCTGAACTGGACCTCTGGACCATGTTTGTGCTGTCTGAACCTTTTTAATGACATCATCTGACCTAAAAGGGAATGCACAGAGATTACATGCACTCACACAGTTTATGTTACTCGTGTGTGTGTACATATATATTAATTTAATGGTTTGTGGAAAAAAAACAAACCAACAATGCTGTGAAACATTTTTTTCTTCTTCTAAACCTGAAGACAACAAATGAAAATGAAAGTTGGAAGTCAATAAAAGACAAATTTAAAAGAAACCAGGGGAGCTTTAATCTACTGGATAAAAAGCCTGTCTGGTATATTTTTTTCAACCTCACCCACCTGCTTAGGTGAACTCTGTCGGTCCCTTCAACAGTAAATATATTAGAAAGAGAGAAAATATGTTCCCTCCAGATGTAATTTGCAGTTAAGCTGTGTAAAAATGTCATGTTTTAAAGTCAGGGTTGCTTTTTAGTTTGCTGAAAACAGCCGTGACAGAGCTCCTACACACAAACCTGTGGTGAAAAACCACAGGTTTGTGTGTGTGTGTGTGTGTGTACAATGCGACAGCTCTGTCACCTCCTACAAAAGGTTGCCGGAGCAATCTGTTCAACCAGATATTAAAGGAGGGTAACACATGCGCGCTACTGCCAGTCCCCTCATCTGCCTGGGTGTGCTTCCTGTATTTCCACTGTGTCCATCAATAAAGACCCAAAACAAAGGTTATGTTATGATAATAGGTTCAGTCTGGCCCTGCCTTAGAGAAAGACCCCCCCCCCCCTCCAGGGAGGGGTGAGGCAGAAATAGCTTTGAGCTATTTTTTGGCTTTTACTTTTAGATCGGGAGCCTCGTTCCTCAAACCTACCAATCGTTTATTACACGGCGGTCACATTATAGCAGCGTGCATGTCACCTTCAGAGCGCCTGTTGCTCTGGTTATTAGATCTGGACTGAAACCACCTGCTTCTTGTAAAGCAGCAATGCAAATCATCAATGACATAATAGTGTGTGTTCTCCTGTGTGTGTGACTGTGTTTGTGAGACACACACACACACACACACACACACACACACACACACACACACACACTAAGGCTCTGTGTTTTATCTTCTGTCCATTTTATTAATCCTCTCTGCGTTTGGACGCCAGCCTGCTCAAACTTTAACAATCAGGCTTTCGCTGCACTTAAACAAAAGCTTTTCAGTAAAATCCAGTTTATACAGAAGAGCCACGAGCAAGTATGCAAGCAGCTGTGCACTGTAAAAACACGGGAGGGAGAAGGCACACAAACCTGCATGTACAACAGCAGCAGTTCAGCAAAGTCAGGGCCTCTCTGTTAGCTCAACAAAACCTTTGGAGGTTTTTTCCCAACAAAGTCCAACTGAATGCTGCCTAGACTGTATATAAAAGATGGGCATGTGGCTAGCTGTAGTGAGGTGCCATAAACCTGCATTGTTGCTGATGACCACCAGGGGGCGACTCATGTGCTCGCATGTAGACTGTGGGAGAAACAAAACTCAATCAGTCTAATTTTATTTGTATTTCACAGTAAATGGTAAATGGCCTGTATTTATATAGCGCTTTACTAGTCCCTAAGGACCCCAAAGCGCTTTACACATCCAGTCATCCACACATTCACACACTGGTGATGGCAGCTACATTGTAGCCACAGCCACCCTGGGGCGCACTGACAGAGGCGAGGCTGCCGGACACTGGCGCCACCAGGCCCTCTGACCACCACCAGTAGGCAATGGGTGAAGTGTCTTGCCCAAGGACACAACGACCGAGACTGTCCAAGCCGGGGCTCGAACCGGCAACCTTCCGATTACAAGGCGAACTCCCAACTCTTGAGCCATGATCACCCCATTCATGCAGGTGACTGCAGCTCAAAGTGCTTCACAGATGACTGAGAAGCAAAATCATAAAACTGTAATAAAACGAAGCAAACAGCATATGGTGAAAAGCAATTTACAGTCATTTAAGCTGCTTTCAGCTCCTGAAGATTCTCAAGGGTCACCCCGGTGGCTCCCTCCATATTTGATTTGACAGATTTTCCTAAACAGACAAATTATCAAATAATTAAAATGAGATTCAAATTAACCTAAAAGTCCAAAAACAGCAGGTCAAATAAATGATGTCAAGAAAATGTCGCCACCACAGCACATTACCTCCCCGCAGCATTTAGCTACCCTACTTCTTACATTATGCCATAACAAGCAATACAAGTGTGACACACTGACACAAATCTTTATTCTAAAGAAGACACACACACACACACACACACACGCTTTCTTTTACTGTTTGACTCTGGACAGCTGTTCTGCTGTAGAACTGGAGGCCACAGCGCTGCAGGTCTGATGCTCATCGCTGCTTTGGTTACATGCTGAAGGCTCTCGCTGCTCAGTGTTGACATCACACGTCTTCGCTTTGTGTCGGCCTGCTGTCTCTGAAGACGCTTTCTAAGAGTCGTTGTCCTGTTTGCAATTTGTCTTCTTGTCCTCTTGAACAATAGAAATCAGAGTTCATATCTCCGCTCCTCTGAAACTGCAGACCACGCCTTCATTTCCCCCCTCGGAAACTGAAGTCAGCTGATTGTAGTGTGAGTGCAGGAATAAATATGGGTTCATCTTTGGTCAAACTTCCACGTCCTGCAGAAGAAAGAACATAAAGACATAATTGTTTGCCTAGTAACTGTATCCAATACAGTTATACGTAACAGTAACATGTTACTTTGTAACACTTTACACAGAGTACTGGTTACATCATAAAAAAGACGAAACTGTAGACGAGGAAAAGAAATTCAAGTAAAATAAGTCATATGTATAAAGGAAGCTTGTGAAGAGGCAGATTTGAAACACTTTCCTCGTGAGCTTATGGTCTCGGTCACTAGTTTAAAGTCTCACTGAATAAAACATGATGTTCATTTTCAGCTGATGTTTTACGGCAGAGCTACTAAGTGACTGACGAGTCACGAGCGCATGAGCACGCAGCGTCGCTGATCCCTGTGCAACATCTAAGTAAGTGCAGTGCAACAGTCTGAAAAACCTCTGTTATATCATCTTTTCCACTACTTAAAGCTGCTATCATTATGAATATTGCCCATTTATTTATGATGAAATAGGAGCTATTCTTTTTTATTGTTCTTTTATGCGAATGGTATAACTGATTGTGTCTGTTTGTCAGCACCAAGTTCAGCCGTGCTTCTTCTCTGCAAGTTCGTGATTACGACAACAATGAATTTCATCTGAAAATCCAAAGATGACGATGAGAGAAACGCTCGCTCGAGGGTCAGAACCCCGACTCTGATGCCTGCATCTGCAGCTCTGTGTTCCCCTGTGGTCGGTGTTCTTCTGTCTCCATCTTCACATTTCCACCTGTGTCTCACCTGCTCCTCCGTCTTTGTTGCTTTGGTTTTTGTGTCTTCAAGTTTGTCCCCCGTGCTTTTATAGAGCTCATCTTTATTTTTTCACGTCTTCTTTAGTTCCTATTTTGAATAAGTTAAAAAAAAAACCAACACGCTGGTGGTGCAAATAAAGTAAGAGAGAAATGATGCAGAAACTCTTCACATTTGTGAGTCAGTATTTTTCAGTGCACTTTTTCATAGCTGCACATTAGAGTCACAAAAATGCGTTACACTGTTCTTAAAATATCATCAGGGAAAAAAACAGTTAAAAATGCATCAGCTCGGAGCTGATTGAACGAAGCAGATCAGGTGTGCACAACAGGTTACCATAGCGATCTACCTGGGTTAAAAAAGAGGCGCCTTTGTGACACTGAAGACTTTGCCTCGGGCAGGAAGTCAGCAGGACGACAGGAGGTTACGTGACAGTTTTAGGAATGGAAGGGTGAGCAGACAGGTAATTAACGGCCATCAAACACTTGAGTTTTCGCCACTTAATGAGCACGACTGTGTTGAAAACACTCCAGATGTGTTTTAAGCCTGTGTGGAACAATTCCTCTGTACCCCGAGGAATTCTGCTAAAACAGTCGATGACAACAAGTGTTTTTGTATTAAATGAAGGAGGTGGAGGTACGGCAGTGAACATGCAGGCGTCGTGACTGGGTTTCTTTGCAATGTTTACAGGTTTTTTTTATGAAATAATGCTTTTATTTTGTTGGTATTGGATCTCTTTGGTCACTGTGACGTGGTATTTTAGGTAAAACCTCCTTCTCATCTTCAGACC